AGCTGACAGCCCACCCATAGGTGACACGGTGAGCTGACAGCCCACCCATAGGTGACACGGTGAACTACTCAGTGACTACAGGACACTAGAGTTGGCCTAGGAAGGCAGTGGTGGCCACCCGGTCTGCATGACCTGCATGCAGGGGGTGCTGCCGTAGACATGAGCAGCCAAGAATCAGGCATAGTCCACGCAAGAGCCAACTTGGGGTGCTGAGCTGGGCCGAGGGGTGAGGTGCTGACTGAGCAAGAAGGAAAACCAAGCCCTAGACGCCTCCTGAATAATTTTGGGCAGCAGTGAAATGTATTTCCGTATTTTGTTGGGCGGTGGCTGCACTTGACATTCCTAACACGGGCTATCCCGTATCCCGGTCTAGGTGCAGGACACTTGTGGGTGTGGACCGCCTGCAGCAGCAGCATCGGGGAGCCGGAAGGGAGGGGGGCGTTGGTTTTCCTGCTCCTTCCCCTGTGGCCTCGTGACCTATACACTGTATGTTCCAGTGATTGAAACCACAATTTGGATGAAAGGTGCTTGTTTTATGTGTAAGGATTTTCTTACACATAAGAAAATCCTTTCTGACTGGCTGTCTCTGAGATGGAGGGGGAGGCCTGAGTGTGCGGGCGCCTCTCCAGGCCTGTGGGTTCCTGGCCTCGACCTGGAGTGGCTGCTGGGGCTTGAACTCCGTTTCCCTGGAGGTGCTGCTTGTGTCGGGTGGTGGGGAGGAGGCAAGGAGGAACAGAAGCCCGGAGAGCCCCATGATGTATTAATTGCTATGCAGGTAGAATTGTAAACATCCTGTCTGTTCTGAAGTTATGCAGATCTCCTGGGTATCAGGCCTCCTGCAAGGCATGGGGATGATGCGAGCATTGAGGAGATGCAGCCTTGTCTCTGGTAGGGGCAGACTGAGGAGACAGGGGAGCCACCGGCGCTGTGTTGTCGCTCCTTCCATCCGCTCTTTCATTCCCACCTAGGAAAATGTAACTTTGCAGGCCCAGTTTCTATTTACAAATCCAGATAATCACACTGAATGGTTCCCTCCCTGAAGTGCTGCAAGAACTGATGAGATTTTGG